ATTTATTGGCATTAGGGCACCGTGTCCTGGACATCCAGGTTGGTGACGTCCCCTTAAGGAACTCATAAGGATTATCGTATAAACCCTGCAGGTGGATTTAATCCGTACGATAATAAGGTTGAGTGGTACTACTTAAGGATTAAAAGATATTAATTAATTAAAGCAGTCAGAAGCTTTAATAATTAATGGACGTGCGATATCTTAAACACGGGGAATTATATCGAGTCTAATAGAAGCCCTGATTCATTTCGGGATAGGACGGGAGTGCAATATTAATTCTCTAGTGGAATGAATTAATATTTACGGGCCAAATTGTGTTCTGGGCTGAACATAAGAATTTGGGCCTGTAGGGAGCCCAAATCCTATACCTTCTAAGAGATCCCTAGGCTGGCCCAAGGACCTCTATAAAAGGAGGGGACTTCCCACGTTCTAAACCCTTAAGAGATTTTCGTGAGACACTCCAGCCACCATAGTGGAGAAGTAACGAGAAGGGTTCGAGAAAGATCGAGGGCAGTTTTCTTCTTTCAACCGTTTGGAGGATCGTCGTCCATCCGGCGTCCAAACGTGGTCGGGATACAGACTAGAAGATCGCTCAGATCGAATCAAAGCCTCGAAGAAAGGTATATCTCTGTTCGTCCTTTAGGAGCATGCTTAGGTTTAATCGAAATCATATGTGTACATGTTTTGGTACCCGATATCGATCCGTGGGAAGGACCGCCTCGTCGGCGTGTTCCAGCACGGAGGGCATTCGATATATAGTCAGCAGTAGTCTATGCGTGGGTATGCACATGAGTCTATTATTGATATGATTGATGGGAGATTGGGATAATTGATTGATTCATATACATGCTGAGACCATACCTTATTGATTATTGATTACTGTTTCATTATTATGAATAACATTTACTGCATAGTGGTGAGCACTATTGTTTCCTCTTGTGCTCATCCCCACCTGCTCGTCATGGATGCAGGTTAGAGTTGCGGGCACGGCGGAGGGATGCGAGTGGTGGTCTTAAAATTTGAAATTGCTTCCGCCTAGAACTGAATATTGTTGTTATTGCTTTCTCTATTATGATCATTGGATTATTGATAGGGAGTGTATTCCCTAGGATATTGATTATTGGAATGCTTGGATTGCATTATTGATTATTGTGATTTCTTTTTAATATTGATGAATGAGAATTGATGGTTGATTGAGTATTGAAAAATTGGTTAAGTATTGAAGTTCTTTTTGAAAATGAGTAGCTCCTCAGGTGTTTTGAAATAAATTTGAAAAATTTATTCTGATTTTCGGCAAATAAAAAGTGGGGCGTTACAGTTTTTTATCAGAGCCAGTCTGCGTTTCTGTAGACTGGTATACGTAAATTATGTGAAAAACTTGTATAACATGATGTAGCATATGACCACTCGCTTCCGTCATGCCGCGCCAACTCAAGTATGAATACTTGAGTAATATTAATTGGCTTATGTGAAGTATTATGGTATTATGAGATGTAAACCGGGCCTTAGGAATTTATTCTCCTACTTTTAAACCTTCTGGAACTCTAGATGAGTGGCGAATCTTAGTTGTATGAACTTGAACTCTAGCGATATAGAGTTAAGTTATAACTTGAGGTTTTGTTTGTTTAGAAATTCAATATGATATTATTGAGCTGAGTTCTTTGTATAATAGTCCTCTCGATGTTTTTTTTTATGTCTTCGGATGAGGACGATTTGCAATGCCATCTCGAAAGGAGAAGGCTTAAGCGAAGGGAGCAGACAACTGAAGGAGTCCCAAGTGTGGGATATTCGGAGGTCTGTAACCATGGTTACTAAGACCATTAGATGTGTTTGACCCCCAGTCGAGTGCGAGCTGGAGTTGAGTTTTCGTGTCTTGTGCATACTTAATGTTCAACCCCGAGGAGTGTTGGGGAAACTTAATGCGTAACACTGTCGCGACTCTCGAGAGTGGCTAGGCCTCGAGAAAGACGATAGTGACCTTTTCTTTTGCGAAAACTCTAAGCGAAGGAATCCGACCTTGTTCTTAAGGCAGATAGACCAATCTGGCACCGCGTGAATAGCTTATGCCGCAATTTCGAGTGGCATTTCTGTCTTGAAGGAGACGTCAAAAATTCTCTTCCGTGTTTTGAGCCGCGAGCGATTTTCAGTGTTAGCGGGACTTACCAGGAACAGCTTGAACCGATGATGTAAACAGTGAATCAGGGACTCGTGAAGGCGAAGCAGTCGTGCTTCCTTTCTTAAATTCTTGTCTTCTTGTATACTCCTGCAAACTTTTTTCCCATTCACATGGCAAACAATTTTGAATTGTGCTTGAGGCTTCTTTTTGTTAATTTTCGTATTTGAGGATTTCGCTTAATCTTCCCCTACTTTTGATAAGCTGTGTAAACTATTTTAAACTTCCCAACTTTAAAATTCGCTTCTCTTGAAGTTTAGCTAATTCTGATTTATCTTATGTTGGGAATTGACTTTGTTTTGAAAAACCTGATTGCAAGTGAGATTAAGCATCTTTTTGTTTCTGCTTATCTTTATTCGCTTACGAAGTATGTGAGTTTCGTTCGGATGCCATCGCTAAATCATCACGAAGACTCGAGGGCACAATAATTATTCACGCACGGTGTCGAGATGAACGTACAGGAGCAGAAGCCAACACACATCAGTTCGATAAGAAAGATGGAGTGATTTGACGCCTATCGAAGAGAGTTTTCCACCTTAAAGGATTATTGTGAAATCTTTTAAGGAGGATAGTCGAGTCCGGAGCAAGCACATCGCGTGGTGCAGAACCGTCCTTATTCTAAATTTTTTTATTTTTTTTCATCGTAGAAACTTTCGTTCTTTTACTCCTTTCGGAGTTTCGGGAGGGACTTCACGCTTAAATTCCGAAGTGTGAAGATTGGGAAGTGCAAGATGAGTTGCGCTTGTTTAGGACTGCTGACACGATTAGCTACCCGAGGAAGAGCTGACGTGTCGGCCGACACTGTTAGTCAGAAGAGTCGAGGCGAGCTATCTATTTAATGTCTCGGCAAAAGCCGCTGACTTAGGGAGAATCGTCATGAGAGTTCTTTTGAGATTTCGCATATCGTTAGATCTGTGGCGTATTGTGTTTTGTTGTTTTAGAAAGTTGGTGGACTTAGAACTCGAACTTGCATCTTGTTATTTTTGAGACATTTTGAAACTTTTGAAATTGTGAAACGTGAACTATATAGTGTCGAACCCAAAAATTTTCGAAAATTTGTAAGACCACTCCTTTTTGGTAACCTGGAACTGTAATTTCTTGTGGAAACCTAGACCAAATGACGGCCCTGGCTGGGTGTAGCCACATGAAGTGGTGGCCGAGCACACACGACCATGCTGAGAGACGTAAGGCTAGGGCGCAGCCGACCGTCGACTCGCACGCGAGTTGCAGCCGCCATCACAGAACGCACAAACTCCCCATGCCATGTGCATCCAAACCTCGACCTTGTAGCTGGTCTCCGAGTAGGTGTGTACGTGCGCGTCCCAGCGCCCCGCTTATGCAGCGCCAGCGAGCGTACCGCCTCTTGGGTGACAGTGCACTAACCCCGAACTATCGATTTTTTTCCTGAACTATTCGACCCGTTTCGTGCTGGACTATTTGGTTAGACATTTTGAACCCTTTATTTCGAGCCTTAAACCGAGAGCTCCAAGTTCCACTAAGATGTGTATAAATCCTTCATCAATAGTTTTCGATTAAGGAGTGTGGTCGATGAGATCCCTATGCCTTACCCGAGAGTTTCTCGAGTCGGCAGATTGGGAAGTTCGTGTTGCTAGTGGACGGAGCCTTATGTTGCGCATAAGGGTTACGTTCGACTCGTGGAGTCGATATCTTGAGAGTATGAGCATATTGGGGCTGTACTTTCTTTATGTGGTACCGTGTCGATGTCTCTGATAGAGACACACGACCTGTGATGAAATCGTGAGCAAGTTATCAGTATGACTCGAACACGAGACTCAAGCTTGGCATCACGTGTCCACCCTGATGGTGAGGCAGTCGGAGTACGCTAGCAATACACCGAGCGACCTGCTGAGATCTTGTGTGTTGTTAGATACGAAGCAAATTGTTGATACTCATGGGTATAGGTGAAGCCGGACTGGGTCCCTTGCAAGAGAATGTACGCCTGAGCTCGGGTAGGATTGATCACCCTCCCATGCGAGAAGGCAAACATATGAACATAGGGCGAGTCGGATTGGGTCCTGTATGTGAGTGTATGCCTTTCGAGTATAGGCGATAAGACTCATGCGAGCGGGGTCGAGTTACGGAGGGGATACCCGGGACTCATGATTGGAAATTCCCGTTCGAGTCTGTCGTTTTTCCTTTAGATGCGTGTTCATTAGTATTTCCGAGGACGGAAATCTTATAAGGAGGATAGAATGTAACGCCCCGTTCGTTTATTAGAACTTCTGGAGTTTTATATTATTATTTATTTTCTTATATTGAATATTCGCCTTTGTTTTTAATTAATTGTCGGTTATGATATTAATTGCTCGTCTCATTTATCTGCCTATTATTTAATTGCTATGTGTCGTATATATATGATTATTATGTGTTGTATTTATTATTTATGTGTCAGAAATAGTAGGATTTATTTGATTAGAATTTAATTGTTTCGGCAATTTCTGGCTTGATCGCGTAAAACCGTTTTTAGTTCTGTTTTGGCCCATTTTCGAGATTTTGTATCCAGACATTAGAATTTATATTTGTTCTAAATCTTTCGGCCTAATTGAAATGTATTTCAGCCCTTTGAGTGGTATATTATTGGCCCATCTTGCTAAATTACTCATAGCCATTTTTGGTATTTAGTTCTGGCCCAACTGAATTAATCACCTCGGTCTAAATGAGTTAAAATTTTCAGCCCTTTATTATTGACTTCTCAAGAGAGTGTCGTGCAATTGGAAAATTCTCATCCCTAATCCTCTTCATCAGCCGCTCCTCATCTCCTTCTTCTTTAAAATTTCCCGTCACCTCACTCTCTTCTCGGCAGAGACGAGCTCCGACCGAAAGTTGTCGAGGCTGCCGATTTCCTCCAGTGATGCCGCACGCCGTCGTGTCTTTCTTCGCTGGCAAACTCACGAGCAGCTGCAGATCCCAGCTTCCAATCGCCAATCTTAGCCCTTCCATCAATCCACCATAGCCGCGCGACTCCATCTCTGAATAGCAACAGCGGCCCGCCGTGATGAGCAGCAGCTTCCGGCCGTTCATCCGACCCTTCGTCAGCCCTCCCCGGCCGCCTGAAGTCGCGCCATCCTCGATCCAAAAGGCGAGCAGAAGCCGTTCGGGAGCACCCGTTCACACCGGAATTTTTAGACAAGCAGCAATCTACCCTTTTAAGCGAGCAGCGGCCGATTCCTTTCCGACGGACAGCGGTGGTCCTTGTTCAGACGAGTGTTGCAGCGAGCGGCAGCCTTGTGGGACCATCATCGAGGCGGTCCTCGAGTGGTAATATCGAGCAGCAGACCATCCTTCACGGCGAACCAGTGGCCCTCTCACTTCTGACCAACGAGGCCTGTTCTGTACGCGGGCTGAAGCACCTTTTTTCCTATTGAAGAGTGCCCGGGCTGAGGGCCACCGGTCTTTTTCCGGTGATTTGAGCACTACCTGAGAGTGGGCTTTTCATGGGCTGAGGCGCCTTTGATTCGAATAGCCACCTAGAGCTTCAGCAGCGGCAGACGGGCCATTTTTGGGAACGTGTGGAGTCCGGGCTGCGTTGAGCCGAGGCGAACAAACAGTGAGGGCCTCAGCCGACGGGTACAACCACCTATGGCCGTCGCAAACCCCAGCCACGAGCCGTGCATGGCCAGACCGTGCGCAATCAGCCCTGGTCTGTGGTGTTCGAGAGGTAATATTGGCTGAGCCTTATTATCTCATGGTGGTCGAGATTTTGATACTTGTTTATGTGTTGTGGTTGTGCCATTATTTTGAAATAATTGTTGTGGCTTATACCTGCATTTTTTTTTATTCTTAAATTGTGTGTTATCCTGGTGTTAAAGTTCGGTTTTTATGTGCCTGTTAAGAGACTTGTGTTTGGAGAAAAAGTGAAGGAAAAAGATAGATGATATGAGGCATGTTGTGTTGATTTATTTGGGCGTACAGTACGCTGAAGTGCTTAACCTCTTTGGTGATTATTATGATGATAAAATGCCTCAGTTGTTACTTTCAGTTATAAGGCCTCTCAGTTATAAGGCCTCATAGTGTGATGTTTGATTTCAAGAAAAAGTGGAGAAATGAGTACGTATATGCGACTGTGGCCTCTTGTGATGTGGATTATATGCTGAATTTCTTGTAATATTCCATGTTTATATTGAAGTATTATCAGTTCAGTTATAAGACCTTTTTAGGTGGGTTGTAATTTTGAGAAGAGAAGAGAAGAAAGAACTTGTTGTTGATTGTTGTTGTGTTGTGTAATAGACTTGTCTTACCTTGTACTGGTTGCGTCCTTTTTATTTCACATTACATGCTGCTTATGTGTTAAATGTTAGTATACATATTATGAGAATTGTTAGTATATAACATCGTTTTTTTTTTTATATACTGACGCATTTGTTAAATGCATCATATAAACTAGTTATGCATTTGTTAACATGTATGCGTTAAANTTATTGTGGCCGAATTTTTATCATGTTTTGGCTGAGTCTTTTCATGAATTTTTGAGCATGCTGTGAGGTTAATTATAAACATTGTGATTGTATCTATTTACTTTGGCCGAATTATGTTCTCTTATCTGCAGTATGTGATATATGTGTTTTAATGTGTTGTTTTGCATTTCAATCAAAACCCTTAATAATAATTAAACCCCTAATTTGTAGATTAAGAGGAGTCGACCCCTCGCCCTTGTTTGCTCGTGCATTCACCATCGTCCTCTTCAGTAACAGGTGGGTTTGATTTAAAAATTTCTTATGCCGTAAATGTTATAAATGTAAAATTTGTGGTATGATCAATGTATGCATGTGGACCATGTAGCCTACGATGTGAGCTGTACCGGCAGTCGAACGGTTATCCCCGTAGCTATAGAACGTACCCATAGGGAAGTCTTCCTTTTTGAGCCGTAAGACCAGGGTTAAAGGTCCCTAGGCTGGAGATGATTGGTTTACTCCTACTGGCTGACACTCGATGTAGGACCGGAGGGCATTCGATATATAGTCAGCAGTAATCTATGCGTAGGTGTGCACATGAGTCTATTATTGATATGATTGATGGGAGATTGGGATAATTGATTGATTCATATACTTGCTGAGACCATACCTTATTGATTATTGATTACTGTTTCATTATTGTGAATAACATTTACTGTATAGTGGTGAGCACTACTGTTTCCTCTTGTGCTCATCCCCACCTGCTCGTCATGGATGCAGGTTAGAGTTGCGGGCACAACGGAGGGATGCGAGTGGTGGTCTTAAAAATTGAAATTGCTTCCGCCTAGAACTGAATATTGCTATTATTGCTTTCTCTATTATTGATTATTGGATTATTGATAGGGAGTGTATTCCCTAGGATATTGATTATTAGAATGGTTGGATTGCATTATTGATAGTTGGGATTTCCTTTTAATATTGATGAATGAGAATTGATGATTGATTGTTCGCCTTGTACCAAGGAAATCCACCTACGTTCAGCCTTCAAGAGCCGTATACAGCCCCGGTCCACACGAACAGATCGGCTTCCAAACCCCGCGGCCGAGACGAATGTCAGCCGTCGAGCCCGAGTACCCCGTGCGGCTGCACCCTTTTAGCTTCTCTTTCGACTCATTCTTGTGTTATACCCAAGAATAGTATCGACGGTTTTAACCTGAACCTTTTCGATTTATATGTTGTGTTATTCATATGAATATTAATTGGCTTGTTGATATGTACTAGTATGAATCTCGTGCGATGCACGGGTTGGACAGTTTTAAAGCTATTTACTCAACCTTAATATTATATTCATGAATAAATAAAATTAAATAAATAAAATAAAAAACTATTATATATATAAATAAATAGAATAAAAATTATTATATATATTATTAAAAACTTCCTTGTAGACAACATTTTTTGTTTGCCTTGTAAGCACATCATCATCCGCACAAACTAATATTTTCAACCCCTTTCAATTAGTGACACGGGAAACAACTACATACATCTGGCCGTGACTAAACCGCAGTTTCTTTAAGAACACGCCAACATGTGATAAAGATTGATCTTAACTCCCAACATTTGATGAAGACTGACTTCAACTCCCAACATCTGATAAATATTGACTCTGAGTTTTGTTAATCCTGATGAAAACTTACCCTAACTCTTGTTAAGTCACATTTGAACTTCACCAAATTGGTTGTTGACATCCGAGTTCGCCTCCCAAGAGAATCGGACCAAAGTTCGGACCGGGGATCCAGTTTTGTGTACAACTGCCGGGCTGAACTCCGAATCAGGTTAACCGTTACATCCTCCCGGGTCTATTCTTGAGATCGGCATTTGTGCCGTTTGAACACCGACGCCGACCTGACATGGGCGGCTGGGCTGAAATAAGGCTCACGAGAGTTGAAAGAAAAGCGCGAGCTCAAGAACCGACCTGAGGCTTTAGAGCGATTGTCCCCGAGGCGGGTGCCGAGCCCGATAACAGTACAATAATGCCACTTGGGGAGTAATCATTAGTGATTGGACGGGGTGTAACAGCCTGCAGGCTACACCCACTAGACAAGACATAAAGTTGACCAGCATTAAATGACCCCCATGTGTGCATTAAATGCCTGACAGGCAATGATGAGGAAAACCTCAAATCGCATTTAATATCTGTCAGGGAGACGCCGAACTGCTCTGCCCGAGTACTGTACGACAAGACCGGTGAACAGTGTCTGAACAGTGTCACATTTAAAGTCACTACAAATAGCAACCCACCTCATTTATTTCTGGGTTGTTGAATCTCCCACTTTGATACTCTCTCTCGGCTTTTGCTCTCTAGACTTGTATTAAAACTCTGTAAGAATTGTAAGGATATCACAAGTGCCGACATCGTACGAGAGGCCGACCCAGTGATCTGATAATAAAATCATAATTAACCCGTATTTCTTTGTCTTATTCTCATTTCGTATTTCTATTGTTTATTTCTTTAACCGTTGACCGGAAACGCCCGTCAACAGTTTGGCGCTAGAGGAAGGACATCATAAGTTATTTGGTGTCAATTATTCGATCGTGTGGAACCCCACACCGAACTAACCTTTTCACCACTCTTCATTCCCAAAAAATCTCTCGAAATGACTTCATCCGGTCATGACCAGTCAACTCAGCAGTCCGACGCCCAGTCTCGCCGGCGCAACGGCGGAGAGACCTCCCGCCGTGCTCCGCAGGGAACACAAGCCCCTACTCCACCAGCCCCGACCTTTGCTGCAGCCATGCAGCATCCCAACGTCCTCAAAGCTCTCGAGGGGGTCTTCGCAAAGGCGCTCGCCAGCCAGGCGGCTTGGGGAAACACCGTGGCTCCCACAGAAAATCCTGACAATACATTGCTCCATACCCCCGAAAAGGGGGCCGGGGGGCAGAAAAGGAACCCAGCGAAATCCAAAACCACGACTCAGTCACCCAATCTGGAAACCCGAAACCTCCGCGACAAGAGTGCCAGGCAGGCGCCCACCGAGCAGACGGGTGAGAGCCACCCGGAGCCAAGTCTCCAAATCGTTCGTCGTTCTGTTTACCAGTGCTTGGGCGACAAAAGTCAGGCTAATCGTGACCTCAGGGAGGTCATCGAACGGGGTAAAGCCGTGGGACGTGACACTGACGAGGTCGCGGCCCTCAAGCGCAAAATCGCCGAGCTGGAGGGCCGGCACCCCTCTAGGAATGAACTGTCGCCCCCACCCCATCCGCAATCATACCCACGACAGACTCCCCGGGTCGTGGACAATGCCTCACCTCTCTCTCCCGACATCTTACAGGAAGCCATCCTGAAGAAGATAAAAGTGTCGCAGCTCGGTCTTTATGATGGGAGCTCGGACCCTGATTCCCACATTGGCTTTTACACCTCGTGGATGGATCTGCACGTCGCCTCAGACGCCCTACGTTGCCGCATGTTCTCCCTGACACTGGGACCGAAGACGTAGAGGTGGTATCACTCTCTCTACCCCCATTCCATTTCCACCTGGGGGCAGCTCAGGTCAGCATTCCGATCACACTTCATCGGATCGCAGGTCAACCTTGCCCCCAAGGAATCCATTACCAACATCGTCCAAGGCGAGGACGAGAGCCTAAAGGATTACATCACTCGGTTTAATGACCGAGTCTAAAACATGGAACGGTGCCACCCTGACGCATTACTGATCACCGCCTAGGGTGGCCTGAGGCCGAAGACGCTGTTCAAATGGTCCTTGTGCCAGAACAAACCGACCACTTACCAAGAGTGTCTCTCTCGAGCCGAAGACTACATTATGGCGGAGGAGTCCTCGTCAATCCCAACGTTCGACGCCTCGCCGACGAAGGGCAAGGCGAAGGAGGAAAAGTCGGGGAAGCCGAGCAAGTCATTCGCCGAAGTCCGAGCTCAACGGAGAAAAAAAGCTGAGGAGCTAAAGGAGAGCTATCAGAGCGTCTTTTCGGTAGCGGCAGCCTCGGTGTACGAGGAAATCAAGGCGAAGGGACTGTTGCCGGACCCAAAGCCGATGTTCACCGACAAGGACAAGGTTGACAAGTCCCGCTACTGCACCTATCACAAGGCACACGGGCATAACACCGACCAGTGACGGAATTTGATCTCGGCACTGCTCCAACTGATTGATGACCCACAGTTAAAAAGATTTACCCACTTCGGCAGAAAGAGAAAGAAGGGAGGCCGGTTTGAGGAAGGCCTCGACAGCGAGGATGAGGCCGACGTGAACCCCTGAAGGAAGAAGCTGCAGCAGGGTGGCCCCCATGTGATCATGACTCTCTGCCCCACCCCTCGAGACGAGGCCGGTACCTCTAGGGGCGTGAAAAGAGGTCGGTTCCCAC